CATAATCCTCAGTGTACATATGTGAAAATTGAGTCAAGTAAATTGAGAGGATGAGTAGGGTTGGGAGAGAAGATAAGAACTGTAAAAGAGGTGACACTGTGCAAGATGCATTGTACTTACAAACTGACATGCTTAATTGAAAGCCCTTTGAAGTAACTACTTAAAGATAAGGGTTTTAATTAAGAAAAAAATGCTGTTAAAGGATGGTAGGCTAGGCAAGTTATGGAAACAACCCAGCAATAGATAAGTAGATCAATAAAATGTGGTACATATACAAAATTGAATTTTGCTCATCGATTAAAAAGAATAAGATTATGTCATTTGCACAGAAATGAATGGACCTAAAACAAATTATGTGAAGTGAGGTGAGCCAAGCTCAGATTGACAAACAGAGCATGTTTTCTCTCATATGTAGAAGCTAGATCTAAAATAGTACTAGACATAATAACACAGACTAAAGGAGAAACCCTTCAGGGAAGAACCCTAAGGTATAACTCCTCTGAATATTTAAAATACTGTTTATCAGGGCTGTGAATGTGGCTTAGTGGTAGAGTGCTTGCCTACATACATGAAGCCCTGGGTTCAATTCCTCAGTACCATATACACAGAAAAAGTCAGAAGTGACACTGTGGCTCAAGTGGTAGAGTGTTAGCCTTGAGCAAAAAAGATCAGGGACAGTGCCCAGGCCCTGAGATCAAGCCCCAGGACTGGAAAAAAAAAAAATATATATATATATATATATAGTGTTTATCAAAACAAATTCCAGAAAATAGAATCATAGAATCATGGGTTTTTGGTAGTGGTGGCACTTGTTTTTGCTTTGGGTTTTTTTTTCTTTTTGGAGGGCAGGAAGGGAAGGGAGAAGTGTAAACAAATGCAGTTGTGCTATTCAGAATATGTTCTGTGGAAAATGAACTATGTAACATGGGGGCAGGGCCAGGAAGGGGAAAGTGAAGGAAGGGGTGACATTGTCCAAAAGGAAAATGTATATTTTCCTCATTACTTACAAAATGGTAACTCTTCTGTCCAACACCTTAATAATAATAATAAAATTATATTTAAAAACAAAAAGAAAAAGAAACTAATCATCAGCAACAAAAACATACTGGCTTTATGGCTCAAATATTTGGGGAGAAGTAGAAAGAATTTCATCTTTCTACTCTCTTTTCATTTGTGTACATTTTTCTTCTTAGAGCTGCATTTGTACATTAGCCCTGTTTGTACAATAGGAAACTGTAAAGGAACTCTCAGTGGTCTTTGAAACTAAAAAGCCGTTCACATCGAACTCCACAACAAAAAAGAATGGCAAGCTAGGATTCAAAAAAAGATTATGTTTAGGGTAAGCAAATGATCAAGTATACACAAGTATATTATAATATATTTATACTTTAGGTTATCAACTGGTACCATTTTTATCAAAAAAGTAAGGTACAAATGGAAATGGTAGCATACAATGTAAATTGCTATTGTTTCTAACACCACAAGCTTTGAGTACAATGAGCTGATTAGAACCAAATTTTTTCATTGTCCTTGCTCCAAACCCAGGGCGATTCTGGTATTTAAACTAAAAGCATTGTCCTTACTCAGCAAGCACCATACCAATTGAGCCATACCCCAGCATTGGCTTTTGTTATTTTTCAAATAGGCTCTCAGTTTTTGTCTAGGTCAGCCTAATTTACTTTTTCCACAGAGCTAAGATAACAGCTGAGACCTAAGGATCTCTAGTCTTGAGTAGAAAAACTAAGTGAGAGTGTAAGGCCTTGAGTCCAAACCTAATACTGGTGCATACACACACACACAGACACACATACACACACACACACAGACTTGAGTCTTGCTATATAACCCAAGCTGTCCTCAGCTCTCTAGTGCTGAGATTACAGGTGAGCATTATCAGGACCTGTATTGTTTGTTCTTTCTCCCATGTCTCATCAGTGACAGCAAAAATAGCATTGTCATCTCTAGGTAAAGATACATACTGGAGAAATGTAAACATCTTAGAATTCCTTAGTTTTGATAGTAAAGTTAGAACAAAAGAGCAGTCACTTTGTGTGTAAATGAAAACTTATGTCAAGAACAAGCTATTTTTACCATAATCATCCTAATAGGCATAAATTCATTAACCAAAGCATACATAATAAAGCATAGTCCTATATTAAGGAACTCTAGTTATAATTGTACAGCCATAAGTAATCACTTAAAATAATTTTTATACTCAGAAGACTGTAATAATTGTACTGTTAATAACTAGGTAGAATTTTGAGGCCTTGAGAAGAGGATACTTTATAAATGCTTCTAGGTATCATCTTAATATCTCTATGCTCTATTAAAACAGTCTACCAACAAAACTGAGCTTCCATGAGATACGTAACAGTTCAGTGGCAGCTCCAAGACTTTGAAAGTATAAAACAATCCTTGGCTTAATCCTTCCAATGGTAATGATGACTGTATACAGCCCCACTTGTCTGGACACTCTCCCAGCTAAATAACTTCCTTTCCATCATGATTAATTTTATCCAGTAGTAACAGAGTAACCTAGTATCCATTACAATTCAGAAATTCTTTGAAACCAAAGTTTAGAATTTCCTTCCAAAATCTTATTGAAATGCAATTTCCTGAGTTGATTCCTATGTATTGAGAGCTGTCCTATCCCCAATTCAGGTTCTTTATTGAAGCTTTAAAAAAAAAAAAAAAAAGAGTGGGGGCTGGGAAGTTGGCTCAGTGGTAGAGCGCTTGCCTTGCATGTGTGAGGCACTGGGTTTGATTCCTCAGCACCACATAAATAGAAAAAAGCCGGAAGTGGCGCTGTGGCTCAAGTGGTAGAGCGCTAGCCTTGAGCTGAAGAGCTGAGCGACAGCACCCAGGCCCAGAGTTCAGGCCCCACGACCGGACCCCAAAAAAAAAAAGAAACCAATATTCAATATAAGAAAAAAAAAAGCCTTCTTTCAGGGAAGTATCATCAGCAAAATTCACTTGCTACTTCTTCTATGTTCATTTGACTTGAAACTGAGATGATTGTTTTGTTTCTGTCTTCTAAAAGAACTCCAAGCAAAAGGAGTAGAATATTTGAGTGGCTAATGACATGAAGAAGTATGCTGACCCTAAACTAGTGGTCAATAAAGAGTTCTAAATGTCCACAGTTTCTGAAAGTTAGAGCATAAGTGGTAAGATGATACATCACAATGATAATCTAATGTCCTTCCTTTAATGCCCAAAGTTTTTCTTCTAAAATATTTTATTGAGCATTTTACATACATTAGACTATGTTATGCATCATGGAAAATATAAATAATACAGACTTCTTTCATAAATTGAAACACATGCCCTAAACATATATTTCCATACAAACATACATTAACACTTAAAAGCATATACCATTAACACTTAAAGAAATACATTACTTAAAGAAACATCATTAGGATGCTTTAAGCTGGAAAAAAAATTCAATTCAAATGTTTTTGTTGTTGTTGTTTTGCCAGTCCTGGGGCTTGAACTCAGGGCCTGGGTACTGTCCTGAGTTTCCTTTGCTCAAAGTTAGCTCTCTACCACTTCAGCCACAGTGCCACTTCTGTGTTTATGTGGTACTGAGGAATCAAACCCAGGGCTTCATGAATGCTAGGCAAACACTCTACCATTAAGCCACATTCCCAGCTCTCAAATGTTTGTTTTTTTTTTTGGGGGGGGTCCGGTCGTGGGGCTTGAACTCTGGGCCTGGGCGCTGTCCTCAGCTCTTCAGCTCAAGGCTAGCACTCTACCACTTGAGCCACAGTGGCACTTCTGGCTTTTTTCTTATGTGGTGCTGAGGAATCAAACCCAGGGCCTCTAGCATGCAAGGCAAGTGCTCTACCACTGAGCCACCTTCCCAGCCCCTCAAATGTTTTAAACATATAGAAATGTATTAGTTCATATCATGAGAAATCCAAAATTAGGGTAAAAATCCAAAATTAAATGCTATGCAGTCAGAGCTCAAGCTCTATTTTTCTGTAGTTCTTCTGTTAGACTGGTCCTCCTTTTGGTTGTGTCCACATTCCAGCTGACTCTGTGGTTTAAAGGGAAAGGAAGTAGTTTCATCCATCATGGACAGATAAGGCAATATTCAGAGACAGAAATAAAGAACTTTCTCTGTTGGCAAGGAGATATGGGATAGATATCATCAGGAAACTGAGACTAGTAGAGGAGAAGCATGTGACAGTATGACAAATACTATACTTGAAGCATATGCAATCTATACTAGTGGCATCAAAAATAGTGTGCTTGAGGGGTGGGGGGGATGGGAAGGGATGTTAAGGGTAAACAAAGGAGGAGGCAACAATGCTTGATAAGAAATGTACTATTACCTTGCTCATGTAATTGTAACCCTTCTGTACAGTATTTTCACAATAAAAAAATAAATTAAAACAGAAAAAATAGTGTACTCCACTGTGCTCAGCTGGTGGAAGGTAGGTGGTCCACAGAGGGTGATCAGAGACTTCATTTGGGGAAGAAAGTATCAGTCCAATCTGGACATGATGGTACTACGGGACTTCCAAATGGAGAAATCTAACAGACTGATAGATACTACTCTAAGGCTGGGAATAGAGGTCTAGATAGAGAAAAAAAATAAAAAGACTACATGCTGGTACAGGCTCAGAAGGAATGGCTTAATCCAATGAAAGGACAGAATAGGAGAGACCAATGCAGAGATCCTGAGAAGCACTGACATTTAAGTATTGGTGAAACAAGAATTGATGACAGAGATAGGAAATGGAAATCATTAAATGTCATCTATGTGGGGATGGTTATAAGCCAACTAGAAATAATATATATGTGACTCAGATGAAGGACTGATAAAAGATAGGAACTTTTCAATACCCATTATTTGCCCAGTAGCAAGAACCTTTCCCTAGAGACTGATTGAATGATATATAATTTTGTTGGAGATCTGGCTGGACCTGTACAGTACCTCACCCAAAGCAGAATTGTGACATTAAAATTTCTAAATTGAAACTCTTTCTTTTCAGGAGTGGTCACACATTACTTGCCTTCTGGTTTTCCCGCCAAGAGGGAAAACTAAATCGACAACAGACTATTGAACTGGGACATCATATCCTCAAAGCTCACATCTTTAAGGTAATTAGGGGAATGGGAGCCTTTCTCTTTGCATCCCTAGCAGACTTTCCTTAACACTATGTGTATAAAATGAAATTCCTGTTATTTCAGTGTGGTTCCTGCTTTCTGAAATTACTTTGTGGCAATTTGTTCATCTCTTAAAGTATATGGCCTGTTCATCCCTTAACCTTTAGAAAAGAACCTACCTTGTCCTACAGAAAGGTTAAATGCCTCCTTTGGAAAAAGATTAAATAAGTTAGCATGGTATTTGCATTAGCCTTCCCTGGGTTTAGTAGATCCCTAGTCTTTCTAGGAAATGTTTATACAATATCATTTATATAAGGCACATGCGTGCTCCATACATGAACTGTCATCTCCTGAGGACAATCATGTTGTAACAGTTTGCATGTCTTCCTTCACAGTGTCTTAAAAGATTAATGAGCATAGTCTCTTAATTTTCATATGATTGCTTTAGTGAATATTTTAATATTCCTGGTATTTTGAGGGTGTTTTTGGAGACAGTTTTCTATGTTGACTATCCTCGCCTTAAGTTCATTGTCTTTTCTACCTCACCTTCAAAGATGCTTTGTGAGTACAAGCATGTACCACAACACACAGATTCCTCAGGTGCTATGATTTTAGACTGTTTATTTGAAGCTAACAGGAACCTTTTTTGAAGCTGTCTCCCCAATCTCTCTCAATCACAAGCTCAGTTTCCCCCTAGCCATTTCAAAACTACTAAGAACTGTATGGCATTTACATCTTCTCTCAACATTTGTAAGGAAGAACTAGAGCACCAGAAGAGAGCATATAGTTATTCTGCACTTTCTAACAAATTACTGGACCAAAAATGATCTAATTCAGTGACCTTACTTTGTGGGAGCAGAATAGCACTAAAACACAAAGTAGCTCATTCTAATTTCAAACCGACTGAAAAATGTCTACTGTTATCATAAACTCTAAGCTCATTATCCTTCAGTTAGAAGGGAAACTAACTAGCTGGGGGCCAGTGGCTCACACCTGTAATCCTAGCTACCCAGGAGGCTGAGATCTGAGGATCACAGTTCAAAGCCAGCCTGGGCAAGAAAGCCCATGAGACTCTTATCTCCAATTAACCACCAGAAAACTGGAAGTGGCACTGTGACTCAAATGGTAGAGCAGCACTAGCCTTGAGCTGAAGAGCTGAGGGACAGTTCCGAGGCCCAGAGTTCAAGACCCACGACCTACCAAAAAAAAAAGGGAAACTAACTTATGTATTAATCTTTTAGCATCACCATCTGCCCAAGATCATTTGCAAAAATGAACTTGATGCCAGCCTTCGTTTCCCATAAAAAAAAAACACCACTACACTAATACAAATAACAAAACTTTGTCTGGCCAAGTGTGACTTTATTCAGTACATGAACACCTACATTTAAGCCATATGCACCAATTACCACATTTTTTTCTTATATTGATGCAGACAACATGGTTGCCTGAGATAAGACTGGCTCCATGTGTGATGTAGGCCATAAATATCTGGATTGGAATTCTTAGTCTCCATCAGCCAAGGGTGATGAAAAGGCAAAGACAGATGTTATAGTTTAAATCAATTAAACTTAGATCTAATCGTTAGTGCCATGCAGTCTAACTTACATTTCTTTCCAATTTTAAGTTATTTTATCTTTGTTTATGAAAATTACTTATGTGTCATTAATAAATAGTTTGCTTGCTGTGGAGCTCTTTTAATTCTTTTTGTTTTTATATTTACAGTTTTATTGAAGTTTAACTTTACCACAAAAAAGTCCATCAGTTTCAGTCTACAATGCTTAATAAGAAATGTACTCATTATCTTGCCCATGTAATTGTAACCCCTCTATACAGTATTTTCACAATAAAAAAAAATTCCATCAGTTTTAGCTGGGCACTGGTGGCTCACACCTGTAATCCTAGCTACTTAGGAGGCTGAGATCTGAGGATCATGGTTCAAAGACAACACAGGCAGAAAAGTCCATGAGACTCTTATCTCCAGTTAACCACCAGAAAACCAGAAGAAGCACTCTGGCTCAAATAGTAGAACACTAGTCTTGAGCTAAAGAGCTCAGGGACAGTGCCCAGGCCCTGAGTTCAAGCAACCAACAAAAACAACTACAAAAAAAATTGTCCATTTTAGATGTGCCAATCAATTATCTTTAGTCTATTTACAGTTGTGCCACTATCACCAGTTTCAGTTACATTTCCTCCATTTTATTTTGTCATGGTTGTAGTTCTGGGACTTAAACTCAGATTTGTGCTTGTTAGGCACATACTATACTTGAACCACACCTCCAGCCCTTTTTGCTCTGGTTATTTTTGAGATATGATTTGTTTTATGCGCTAGCCAGCTCAAACAACATTCCTCCAATTTAAACTTCATAGAGCAGTTGGGCTGACAGGCACATGCCATAACTTTTTCTGTTGAGATGGGATCTCATGAACTCTTTTTCTTTTTTCCTCTTTTCTTTTTTTGGGGGCACAGGTGGCAGGGGTTGGGGGAGAGGGAGGCTTGACTTGTCTGGAACCACAATACTTTCAATCAGCTTCCCCATAGCTGGGATACAAGGCAGACTCTACCACACCTAGATATTGTTAAGATGAGGTCTCACAAACATTTTTTCCTGGGTGGGACTCAAACCATAATCCTTCAGATCTCTGCTTCCCAAGTAGCAAAGATTACAGTTGTAAGCCACTTGTACACAGCTCCATATGCCCATTTGTGTAGTCATCCCACCATTTTCTCTTTTTGTTCAGTAAATTGTAATTTTTTATTGGAAAACAAATATACAACTTGGAATGGATTGAGGCAAATTGTGCCATAAGCAGATTTTCTTTAAGTGGCTAAAACAAAGTTTAAAAAGCAAGTAACAATAAAAGAAAATGTTTTTGGTATAAGACCAGCAGTACTCAGCCGGGCGCTGGTGGCTCACGCCTGTAATCCTATCTACTCAGGAGGCTGAGATCTGAGGATCACGGTTCAAAGCCAGCCCGGGCAGGAAAGACCGTGAGACTCCTATCTCCAATAAACCACCAGGAGACCGGAAGTGGCGCTGTAGCTCAAGTGGTAGAGCGCTTGCCTTGAGCTGGAGAGCTGAGGGACAGTGCCCAGGCCCAGAGTTCAAGCCCCACGACCGACAAAAAAAAAGACCAGCAGTACAAAAAAATAGTGTACAAGTAACTGGATAATATACCCATTTTGCAATAGTGCAACTTTTAAGTACATATTGTTATCTCTCCATAGTCCACACAGAGTTACAACTCCACACTTCAACAACAACATGCTGACAGTTCCTAAAAGAAAACTACTTAAAAAAGCATAACCCATATGTTCCCTCATTTGACCAACTCCATCTAAGTTTAGATGTGCAGAAGGGCTTAAATATATCCAAAGTAAGCCACATATAACATATTACTTGATCAGTTTTCTAAAATAAGGTTTCAGGACAATGACAGTAAGGGAAGGGAAGATAACATGGAGGAATGAAATCCTAATTACTATACATGCATTTTTTTGACAGTAGGAGAGACCTTTTACAGATAAGTTACAAAGAAAAGACAAATAAACATTTTTGTACAAGAAATTTAACACATTCTGTACAATATCTTCACTTTGCTGTCATCATTTTTACAAACTCTTCAAAGTTTACTTGACCATCACCATCAATATCTGCTTCCCTGATCATTTTATCAACTTCTTCATCTGTTAACTTCTCCCCCAGGTTTGTCATCACATGGCAAAGCTCTGCTGCACTAATATAACCATTGCTATCCTTATCAAACACACAGAATGCGTCTCTAATTTCTTCTTCACTGCCAGTGTCTTTCAGTTTTCTTGCCATCATTGTCAAAAATTCAGGGAAGTCAATTGTGCCATTAACATCAGCTTCTACTTCATTAATCATGTCCTGTAATACTGCTTCTGTGGGATTCTGCCCAAGAGACCTCATTTCAGTTCCCAGTTCCTTTGTTGTTATAGTTCCATCACCATCCTTGTCAAATAGTGAAAAAGCTTCTTTGAATTCTGCAATCTGCTCTTCAGTCAGCTGGTCAGCCATGCTGCAAGAGCTACCAGTCCCCAAGATGTGACCACACAATCACTCTGCTTGCTCATTCCTCTCGGACTCCATCCCTCCATTTTCTGTTTCTCCTTATTTGACTCTCTGGATATTTCAGAAAACTAGAATCGTAATATGCAGTCTCCTGTGCCTGGCTTTTTTGACTTAGCGTAATGTTTTAAGAGTTTATTAATACTATAGTATCTATCAATAACGTATTCCTTTAAATTGCCAAATAACATTCCATTATGTGGATGTACCATATTTTGTTTACCAATTCATAGTTAGACCTTTGAGTTGTTTCTACTTTGGATTGTTGTGAATAATCTGCTATGAACATCAGCACATTGATTTTTCCTTTGTAAAAATTAAATTAGCTATTTAAAGTGGTAGTGTGTTCACAACTCAGAGGCATATAGTACACTGATAATGGTAGGTGTGGTGGACAGTGTTTGTCCACCAACAGGTTTGTGGAGGCAGACTTCAGTTCTTTTGTGTATACCTGTCTATAATTAATAGTTGTGCTTGATGGAGTAGAATGTGCCTAGAAGCCCAGCACTAGAGTGTCAGTACTCAGGAAGCTGAAGCAGGAGGATCATTTGAATCCAGAAGTACAGACCAAGCAAAGCAACACAGCAAGATAACATCATTCAAATCATCTCTTTTAAAAAAAAATTATGAGGGCTGGGAATGTGGCTTTAGTGGTAGAGTGCTTGACTAGCATGCATGAAGCCCTGAGTTCGATTCCTCAGTACCACATAAACAGAAAAAGCCAGAAGTGGCACTGTGGCTCAAGTGGTAGAGCACTAGCCTTGAGCTGAAGAGCTGAGGGACAGCGCCCAGGCCCAGAGTTCAGGCCCCACGACCAGAACCAAAAAAAAAAGTGAAACTGCTAGTTCATATAGTAGCTATATTTAAGTCTTTGGGAATTGCTAGTCTCCAAACCATGTT